AAATGTCTCACCAAACTTCGGCCCGATTGTGGACTTGCGGCCGGGTCAAAAATTTCTCACCGGTCGTTAACAGTCTCCCAGCGGATTGCGGCGACGGCATGTATAATTAGCAGCCACGCAAACTCTCGCTCTCCCAATGGTCCAAAATCGAACGGCAGCAGGAGCGAGCTTTGTCGACATACCTGATTTTGGTTGGTCTTCATTCGCTACAGAAGCTAATTATGCACATATGCCCGTATTCGTAATTTGTCGTGGAGCTTAATGTACGTTTAAAACACTAAGAGATGTGCAAAATGCCATCTCAGAAGTTGTATGCTGTGCTACCAAAAGCGCAGGCGCGAGAGAGCAGATTGGAACAAAAAAGCTTCGTTAATGCGCAACCTCGTGCAACGAAAGCAGTTTTCAAAGCCACGTATTCTCGCACCCGCCGTCGTACACAACTGCAAGCACGGCATTCCGACTGGTGTTCCAATGCGTGCGAGCACGTGCATATTGCGCTTAAAAGTAAATTTTTCTCTCATGTCGAGGTTAACTTTGCGTACGTTTGACGCAACTTTGCGTGCTTTCCAACATGTGAAGGTTCGTGGTGGCGTAGATATATCCTGCTTTCAAGTGTGTATAGGTCACTGGCTGCATCAGAAACCATAACAATCTCATAAATGGCTATTCAAATTACAGCTCTCTCTTAGAAATAAACAAAATAACTGCGTCTTTTGGGGGTTTGTACAGGTCATAGAAAGCTCACTCTAATTCAGTAGCTCACGATGCCCTAGTAACCGCTTCTAATTCCTGGCGCCAACTTCGCCCGTTTATTAGCACCGGCAACAATGAATTTTATTCCAAAAATAATAAAAGAACTATGTATAAACAACACAGGAAGGAATAAGCTAAAATCTTCAGCCGCGGATACCCAAGGGTGTTCGCAAAACGCGCGGAAAGATTTTGCCTGGACTCGACATTGCTCCGGAGTCACGTAAACTTTCCGGAGCTACAGTCGTGACGGCGCCGCATTTACAAACTCCGCGACGCCACCATTAATAAAAAGGGTCCTAAACGAAACATAATCAGGACACAGTCCGTAATCAAGCCGTTTGCCTCACAAAAGCGCTACGTTATATAAAAAAACAAAACAAAAAAAACTCGCACCGTCTACCGTCCTACCATTATACGTCACCTTACGGCGCTCGGAAAACGTAATTAGCGCATAATTTATTTCCGCGATGCGGAAAGTCGCGTGCGGGAATGCTATGCATAATATTCAGCGCGAAATCTGAAGACCACGAAGAAACGCTAAATTCCTAATGACCCACTCTCGGCAGCACGTTGGCACCGCGCGTCCCGAGCAGGCAAAAATCTCCGCTACGCCAATTTCATAAATTTCCTAGTGCACCTTGCGTGCGTGACTGCCTTCGCACAAGCCGAAACTTCGAGCCGGGATGCTGTTGTGCGATTTCTCACACAGTGGCTCTTCTGCCGTGCCACTGTAGGCGGCACGGTCACGGATATGCATTTCACCGCGACGGCCAGTGCACGCAAAAGAAGAGCGGAAATGAAACTTGGGAAGCTGCAGTTACCAGATGTTCCTAAATAGCCTGGCAGGTCGAATATTGCCCCCATAACTATTTCAGTGGTAAAGTGGCTCGGAGACTCAGCCGCTCTCGTCAGCCGACTCGGCGTCATGAAAAATAGATCACACCGACTTGGGTAAACCAGATTCCTTTTCTTCGCTCGTGTCATCTGTTTTTTAAGTGTATGCGCCTAGACGGAGCGTATTTTATGTATCGAAGGGCACCAGTTATTGTGGGCATTTCAGGCTACCCTGCTCTTAAGTGACAAAGAAAGGCATATCTTTAGAGAGAGTAGGTGGAGAAATAAATAATGTGCGAGGAGTTTTGCCGCATTACGAACGACCCTGGCTCCTCTTTGCAACTGTTAGGGCAAGCGGCGAAACCGTGCAGATGAAACCCAAACTCCGAGCTGGGCGCCTCAAGGACTCTGGTTGAAGGATGTATTATTTCACATTCCTTTCTTGAAAAAAATACTGCATACCTGAAGTTACTAATGAAAAGCGTTCATACACTTTCTGTACACATAACGGAAAGTGTTCATACCTGAACTTACTAACAGAAACTTTCATCCCAGGTTTATTTAAAAAATTACGTTTTGGAACGAGTTCTTTATTTTTAAACCAGAAAACAAACAGTTTTAATGTTTTTTATGTATAGAACTATAATAAAAAATAATAAATATAAACAAAACATCTAAACATCATATTCCGATATAAAATCAATAGAAAGGCGGCGGCCATTCTGAGGCACTTTACATGAACTATGTTAAAACAAGTACATATAGCAACAAAAATAGTCAAATAGATAAATGAGAAACCCGTCGCAGACACGGGCAAAAAATGAGGGACTTTAAAGGCAGTTAAACAGCATTTACGCTTCGTGTTATCCACCGCAGCAAAATCCAACATAGATGATGGTGACGCCAGCATCTTCATGGTCCCAAGGATACTGATGCAGGCAGGAGCAAGATTCACGAAAAAACGTATTTACCTAAAACTAGAATACGACTCAACCCTACCTTCTGTAATATGGTAGTTCAAATTGTCGCGTTTCCCAACATCGCATTGCGCCCACTTGTCAGCAAAAGATGTCAAACGTGGCCGGCTAGTTTTCGGCCAGTTAACTAAATAAGCAAAAAACGTTCAATGAAATCCAATTGACATCTCAAGATTAATTCCGGGCGCAACTAACGAAACGTATATGTACCATATACCCTTAGCCATTAGCCCTCAAAATGTGAATTAAAAAAATGTAGAGTTCAACTGCTTTGAAACAGAATCTAAGGAGTGAACAACGTTTTGTTCCCGTGAATATCTAAAACAAAGCGCCGGTTATCGCGTATTTTGACTGTCTGTTATCTGTTCTGAACGTACGTGCCAATTAAGTTGTGCAGAAAGGTTTCGGACTACACTGCTATAGTCCCATCCTTTGATAGTGGCGATTATGTATAAATAGTGGAGCAAAAAGCGGTCATAGAGAAATACCCCATAATATAGTAATGTATGTATGTTCAGATATGCCCAAGGATTTACTTGCATGATTACGGGTTTCGATAATCGAAAAGTAGGCACCCCTGCATCTGGTAGAAACGGGATGGCAACTAAGAAACACAGAAGTTTGCAAGGGTCGCTTTTATTTTAGCACTTCTACAGTTGAGACGACGAGGCAAGGAAGGAGCTCGAATCCCTGTCGAGTCCTTTCTTTGCAACGAAAAGCAAGAATGCCACGATTTATGTTAGTTATATCTGGCCAAATCGCAGGGGGAAGGGGGGATCGGGGTGAAGGGGGGGAGGAAAAGGGGGGGGGGGGGGAAAGGGCGAAGCTGGGGTTGTCAGTGGCGCGAAGCTCGGCCATCACTCCGAGATGGTTAAGCCCCCGAAAGGCGCCCCGAAAAGGGACCTGTCCTTTGCCTCGTAGTGCACCTTCGAATGGTAGGACAAGGAGCATTTCTCTCCGACACGGTCGGCACGGATAAGATCAGCGTTTTCACGGGCGGAGACTAAGATCCTCTCGCAGTATCTGTCTTCCTTCTTCCCCTGACACCCGAGACGCGTGAAAATGACCGGATCTTCTTGAACAGATGTCCCCGACCTGCAGTTTGATTGCAGCTTGCAGGCTCTACACACTGCGTAGGCGAAAATGCGGCCCTAACACTAACATATAAACAAAAAATTTTAAAAAGCGATTATTTAGCGTGTTTTACTTCTTCGTTTTTAGGTTTTGTCTGCCTCATTTATGGCAGGTCAGACTTATTCGGACAACTTCTATGTAGATCGATTTTAAATTTTGCTGGAACCATTCTCTAAGTTGCAGTGATGGCATGTTTTCCTTCTTTTGTTATTTCCAGGTGCGTTAGATTGATACTACCAAACGAATATTTAAGCAAAGATTTTTCAGAAAAATAAAACAAATTATTGATATTTTTATAAACGAAGATTATTTCATTAAACCTACGAAAGTCGCTTTTATAGAAAAACAATATAGCAACTGATCACTCACGTCGTGTAAGACTATTATTGAGAGCACAACAACAATCATCAAGAAAAGCATGCGAAATTTGGTGAATATATTGACTCCTCTTTCATTCTGGTTGGCCAAGCAAACATCGAGGTTCAAGGTGAGCGGGTAGACAAAGGACGAAAATACGGATTTGGCGTCTCTGTGTCGTCGTCCTTTGCCCTTCCCTTAAAACAATCAACAACCATTACTCTTCCTACTCCCGAAAAAGTGTGTCCTTAATTCAAGCGAACCTGTTCAATTGGGAGTTTTTATACACCTACGTGGAACGCCGAGCACCAATCATTGAGGCCCATGCAAGGGACCCAGCAAATGAATAGGCCTAAGACACTACGTTTCGTACTCCTTATATGCCACATTTCGAAGCGAAAATATGCATCTTGATTTGCTGCGCGAATTTCGCAGATCGTTCTGCGTGCCTTATAGCGAAGTAAAATTACCGCCATTGCATTGTATAAATTGCTTAGGTTTATGGCTACAAAATTGGTAACGACTAAGTCACCAACAAGGCACGCTGCACTACCATTATTTAATGCAATCTTAAGAAACTTAGCAAGTACAATGTACGAATACTTCGTTAAACTCAGAGATGAAATGTGCTTCTAGTGCCCTTAGAATTTTTCGGGGAAAACTTTTCGTGCCGACGCCTTGATATAGGTCAAGCTTTTCTGAACGGTTAGTAGTGACCGACTATTGGTATCCCCCGACAGAAGGATACCAATAGTCTGGAAGCACTCTAAACCTCCACAAAGTGCAAGCGCGGCGTTCAATATTTGCGTAGCTCTCTGCGTTCAGCGGCTGGCTGCATTCCAATACCGTCAGACTAAACCACGTTTGCCCCCCCACCCCTCTCGCCTCCAACCCATCATAGTGTTCCCAGATTGGTAGACAATCAGGCACGGAAGGCGTACTCACCGAGCACGGAAAGTCGGACGGCAGATGAGACGACGGACCCATCGGAGCGCGTGACTTGGCACAGATAGACGCCGGAGTCGACGAGGGCCAGCGTCTTCACCTTGAGGGCGGCGGGCGAGCCCAGGAGCGAGAAGTAGGCCCTAGGTGCCCAATCGTGGCGCGGCTGATGCCTGCCCTGCATCATGTTGGCCCGGCCTGGAAAGCGCACCGAGTAGACGGGCTCCGGGTTCGGATCCCCCTGCCGCCGCCAGTCTACGCGCAGCGGAAGCGGCACGTCGCCGCCTCCGGAGGTCGTCCGCAGGGAGCTGCATGGGAGCTCCGCCTGGCCCCCTTCCTGGCCCACGGACGAGATCACGTCGGCCGTCAGCTCGCCGCCGGACGCGTCTTCTGCGAGAACGGACCAAAGCGTTTAACGTCACCAAAGTCTCCGATGCATGAGCGGACACAGTTTAGAGCAGAGAGAAAGAGTTTAATGCGACCCCCCCCCCCCCCCCCCCCCCCCCACCATGAAAAAAAAAAAAAAATTAAATGAAGCTTGGTCCCGAACGTCGGTTACAAAAATAATTGGGTTAGACGACTTGTCTGCAAAAATGAATAATAAGATTAATAATAAAAATAATATAATAATAATAAACTTTTAAAGCCTCGAATACGCCTGTACACTAAAAAAACCTAATTGAATTATCGCACTTCATTAACAAATCAAAAATCGTAGTACTTGATATCATTAAACTGTTCGGTATATACTGCGAGTAAACGTGAGACATATGTGCATGTTTCATGCCCTCACATGAATGTTTACCAGTAATCTCAAGAAAATTAAAATATTTTTTGAAGGAGACAGTTTATATCATATTTTTGATACAACTGATTCAAGAGCTGCAAGCTCAAGCAATCAACTTGGATACTTTGATATTTGTTCACGTTGAATGGTTTGCAAATTAACTGCGTAAAGTTTATTAAACATTTGGTCTGGCTTCTGGTTTCAAATCAACAAAAGTCAGTCCAAGCAGTTGTGAGCACATGAAACCCGATTCAAAATGTTGTTAATTTCAAGAAAAGAAAACAGTCACTCATGCCAACTCTCCTCATATAAAGGGGCGCACAGAAAAACAAGTTCACGCGTAATAAAGTGATCTGGCCAAAATATGCAGCTTCCAAAACGTCAATGACTAACTCCCTTCACCTTTCATCTCTGCTTCTCTTCAATACCTCGCTACCATTTCAATATTTTTTTCAGTGTTAGATACATGTATTACTTTAAACTCCGCGTTGGCCTGCGGATTCGTAAGCAATAAAACGTGCAATTTAGCATATACGGTGGTACCACGTACTTTGCGGCGAACTCATTCTCGGGTTATTTCGGGAAAGCGCTTGTGCAATAGCAGTCTCTTTTCCTTCGGCCGCCCTTCTACCGACGTTCACAAACCAAACACAACACAAAACACAACGCACTGGGTGTCTAAATATCAAACCGAAATCGCGTGTTTAATTCCAAAATCTCGTTTCTTTCAATCCGTTTTTGGACGTTTTATTTTTTTTTCTTCTTACATTTTGAGTTCGGCAAAAATGCAGCGAGAGAGAGAGAGAGAGAGAAATGGCGGAGATGAAAGGAGGAAGAGGGAGAAGGAGAGAGAGAGAGGAGGCTTGCGAATATTGAATTGTTGACATCGGCTATGCTACGGCGTAGTGGCGATCCCTCAGAACGGATTGCGTCCGCAAATCCACTTCACCACGTTGTCACCGTTTACGAGGGGAAGCTGCCAATAAGGGGCATCCGCAAACGACGCGGCCGTCAAAGGAGATAAAGGCCCCGAGCGTCGCACGCCATTCCTGCGCTCGTAAGGCCTCTATAGTGTGCGAACGAAGAATAAAACGCTCAGCATTAATACCAATGGATTGACACTCGTTTGGTGTTGTGTCTCTGAGATTTTCAGGAGTCGAAGATCGCGATAGCAGCTGAAGGTTGCAGCTGCTTACGTGTTCGTCTTAATTCAAAAGAAAACATAGCGTTTATTGACAGCAAGCACACGCGTTGTAGGCGTGCACAGGGCAGGTCCTGTCCGTTTTATATATTCATGGCTGATTTGGAGGCCTAATTTTTTCAGTCTTGATAAAACAAAAAGGAATACAAGTTCGGCCCATCTGTAAAACGCGACTTCTAGAACTTCGCGTCTCACCGTAGCAGGTTGTTCATAACTAAATATTATTGGAAAACTCCCTCAGATAAAATTCCCTCAACCTTTCTAAAATCGTGCAAAAGTGATATGGTTAACTGAATAATTGATTGGTTGTTTAACTGCAGCCCTACCGAAAAATCCGGTATAACTTTTCGCTATCCGGATTATGAAACCGGAAATCTATCTGGATTTTATCTGGAGTTTATGTTTTCAGAAATTATTCCTTTGTCTATAATCTGGATTTCGGGTTTCCAGAAACAAAATTCCGGTTCCATAATCCGGATAGTGAAAAGTTATACCGGGGTTTTCAGTAGGGAGTTTATTAGCTCAAACGCAACTAAGGATCTGATGCACTAAAAATATTTGAATAAGAGTAAATAATACTATTGTTATTGAAACGCACGGAAATGCAAATAGTTATTCCACCTAATCCGTTTTTTTTTTGTAATGTAGCTTAGTAAAAAGAGAAAAACACGATATTACACCCAAAACGTTTGAAGAAAACACCATCGTCCTCTTTTTTTAGGCCAAGAAAGTCCCTCAAGGTTCAGTTCTTGGCCCACTTGTTTTTTTAGTTTATACGAAACGATTTTTCTTCTTTTTTATCTTCCAACCTAGAACTATATGCTGACGACCTTGTGCTCTATTGTAAAGTTTTCTTCCGTTGATGACTGCATAATATTACAAGAGGACCTAGAAAAACTAACAACTTGGTGTGAATCTTAGCTCATGACGATTAATCAGAAAAAATCTAACATAATGATATTCTCCAAATCAAAACATTAAGTCTGTGCTTCATATACTAATTCATCTAGCGAGCTTGAACGGGTGGCCGTATTTAGATATTTCGGACTGTACCTATCAGAACACCGATTATGGTAGTGTCACGTTTACGACATCTGCTGTAAAGCTAATAAAAGTTTAGGATCTTTAACAAGGCATCTTTATCTTACAGACTCACGTAAAGCGTTTAGCCCACACTCTAAAAAAAAGCCCGTGCGTCTACTTTCCCGTACAACACTTGTAGAGCCAATCACCACATTCTACGGAGGCAACTCAGCGAATGACGATGCCGAAACGTATGTTTAGACAAAAAAAAAAAAAACAACCAGTCTGAGTTCTGACATTAACCATGCAAGCTGACGTTTTGCGTTGCTTAATGACACAACTCAGAGTGCGTTATTTAGTCCAAAAATATGTTTCGGCATCGTCATTCGCTGAGTTGCCTCCGTAAGATGAGGTGATTGGCTCTCTAAGTGTTGTGCGAGAAAGTAGACGCACGGGCTTTTTCTTAGAGTATAGTCTGTGTTAGACTTGATTAAGCTGGAATACGTATCCGTCATATGA